AGGAGCTCAATGAGGAAAAGATCCAAGATTACTTCTAGGCACTGCGCAAAAGGAAAAAAATACCCTCAACATCACTGGAGAAGGATAAAAATCACAAATGAGTTCATTGAGTTGCAGTGCTGATAATAGCAAAACTTGGCTAAGAGGGAAGGGGTACTGTGACAAACTGCCTTCATTATTAGAGGCTCCCCTGTGTCCTGTATTATTATTAAGCACTGACAATGTGCTCCACGCGGTTTGAGTAACAAACAAAGGCTGTCCCACCCCAGAGAGCTCACAATCAAACGGAGACATAAAACTGGAACCTACTGTGCAGAACTAGAGGAAAGAGACACTTGGATCTTTTTAATTATTTTGTTTTCGATCTACAGTAAACAAACTTTTCCTTGCAAAATGCATTTGCTTCCAAGCTACCACTGAATGGCAAGAACCACCAATTTTAATGTCCCCATTTTTAAAAAATGTTGAACACAGGCACTTATCTGAGCGTGGATTAAAGTACCTGACAATCCTGCTAGGTTAATGTGCTCTTTGAAAACATCAGACTCTTTTCCCTAACCTTCTCCAACCAGTGATCTCTTCAGATTTCCCTCAGTTCTTTCCCCCACCGCTGCCCTGGTACGATTTCTCTTCAGACTCAGAAACCTTGAAACCCACTTCTCTTCCCCTGCAGAGTTTATATAGTCCAAATAGCTTCATTACTGTGACAGTATGAAAGCCCTTCTGCAACACAAACAGCTGATGACTTTTTCCTGCAGTTCCTGCCTGGAGAGTCCTTCAGCTTATTCCCTTTATTTCATACGAGCGAGGAGGATGGAATTCCACTCGCTTGAGTCTTTGGCCTATAAAATCTACAATACCTACTAATGACTGTAGGGTTTTGTTCGCATTAAAACCCCATTCAAAACACTGAGGATGAACAGTCCGATGGGAGGCAGCAGGGCTCTGAAAGCCCTTGATCGTACCCCATGCCAGACCTGAAAACGAACGCTGAGCTTTGTACTTGGCCTGTCTCTTCCATTCGGTGGGGAAGGTGCAAAACCATCAGGATTTAGCAGTTTCATCACCTTCAGCTCTTAATCAGCAAGGAGACATTGGTGTAACGGCCTCCTGAGAAGTCCTCTTCCCAAGGGCACGCGCTGAGGCTCCAGAAGAGCAGACCTTACCTGCCGGACTTCCAGGCGGTACTTGAGGATGGGATCCACAGCATCAGGCTCCTTCTGCGTCCACTGCAAGACGTAAGAGTAATTCTTGGATTGCTTCTGGCTCAAGGTGGGGTTGGGAGTGTCATAGTAAAACTCTGGGCTGTAAGCTTTTGCTGGAGGGATGAAAAAAAAAAAAAAAAAAGAGGGAGGAAAGAGGAAAGTAAAAGAGTGGGATCAAGTGGAACATAAATTACAAAGAGACCTGGTGAGAGTGGAACAGCTCCACTCGCCCAGCTCATCCACTTGCCTGTGACATGACGGACACCTTTACCATTGTAGCTGGTGTTGTACTGCCCTACCATCATTTTCTCTGAATCACTACTGCTTTCACAGCCTAAACTACGGGGAGGGTGAGCACCCCTGCTACACCGGTGGGGCATGACCGATACCAGGGAAGGTGGGAACAGCTTCAGTTCTCCAGCTAGAATCAGCTTTAATCTTTTCTCTCTTCCTTTGTAGTTTAGATTGAGGTAACAGCTTTAAATTTCTCCTGTTTCATCAGCTGCTTTACAGAGCCTCCTGCTCACAAACCCTGAGGAAAGAGCGTTTGGCCAGCAGGTCATAGGAAAAGCGTTATTTATCACACAGGGACCATGGCATTAAAAAGGAGACCTTGCTCCTTCTGCATCTCCCCTGCCTCGGCAACACAGTGCTCCAGCCTCTTTGTAACATGAGAGTCAACTCAGCAGCAAAGGGGATGCTGACCTCAGCCTAGGTAAAAACAGCGGGAGCTTTTGCAGGGGCAGAGGCGTCTTTTCTAAACCCACGTCTCCTCTTAAAAACAGAGGGCAGCAGGAGGAAGGGAAACACAAGAGAAACGAAGTACCGGAGAGAAAGTGGATAGTTCAGAGAAGAAGGGATTTCCCGTCATTTCCCCAGCTGGTGCTCTCCTGAACCACTACAAACAGAACTCAAAGGCTACTGCCGTGCAGCCCAGCGACTGGTGGACTAATGCACGGGGCCCGGGAGCAACTCGAGGTCTTACCCACAACTGGTTTTGCCCTATTTGAAATTACTTTCATTTCGCCTGGTGTACTTTAATTTTTGTCAGGTCCTGTCCTGGGCCAGGCAGGAGCTGGACCTGAATCAAAACTTTCCATTCTGGGTTCAGATTCAATCTGGACCTGCACAGACCAGAAAGATGCCTGGGCAGCAAGGGATGCTGGAGAGCGGAACAGGTATAAACACCATCTCCCCAAGCAGTCTGCTGCACCTTTCCACTTGAATCACAGACCCTGCCATTCTGTGCGGTCATAATTAGGCTCGAAAGGATTCAATGTTTGTTTTTTATGAACTCAGATGGATAATATTGATGTTTCTTTTCAAGTCCTTTTTTTCTTATTATTTTTATTGACTTGAATTTTTGCACAAGCAAGAAGTTTAGAACCACCTCAGAGACTAATTGCTGCTTATTCAACTTGTATTGACTGTGGAAGTCAAGCTTCATAATGGGTTCTGAAATAAAATCAGAAGTGTTGATAATCATCATCTTGCATGATATTAATTCCTTATTAATTGAATCCAAGATGGAAATGGAAGCTAAAAAAAAAAATGTGTTTCTAATAGAAATGCAGCACATCAAGATACTTTTGGAACTTCCTTTTTGGAATCTTTTACCACTGCTGGAGAGTTTTGTCTTTCGCTTACAGCTGACGAGAAGAGTTGAAGGTTATACACTCCATCTTTCAGGGCTTTTCTGTGCTTGTGGCTAGTAGGAGTGCAGGTGGTGACCAGTATGCACTGCCCTGATAACTTCCTCAAGGGGATTGGGTTGGATGTCTCACTATCCTTCCAAAACATCTCAGAAAGCTAATCTCCCATCCATAGAAGAAACTAATCCCATCCTGGGCAGATTTATGTACTCTGTTTCCAGTACCTCTAAACGCCTCACAGTCAGAAATGAGTCCGTGCCTCCCTGTCAGATAGGAAGGTTGATGGTCCTTCTTTCACACAGAAGGAACAGAAACAAAAAGAAACTATGCCATCCCCCCCGCCTCACACAGGAAGGCTGTGGCCGATGGGAATTAAAACTGAGCAATCCAGCAATCCTGAGCCCAAGCACAGCAGTCTGGCCACTGGGTTATTTTTCAGGTTACTCTACAGGCTCAGAAGATCTAATCATTTTGTAACTGTCCAGGACACAGGCAGAGATGTCTGGACCTGAAATGCCAACATCAGCTATCAATGCCTTGGAAAAGGAGAAGGGATGCAGGAAAATAAATGCTTGCTGCTTTCCTGGTGAGTGCTCCCTCGGGATGAACGCTGCTTTCTGCTGAGGGGATCTTATCTCGTGGGGCACAGCATGGCTCACCGGGTGGCAATATGTATTTGTTACTACTTCCAGCACGAAATTCAGATCCTGGGAGCGTTCCCAAGCTTGCAAGGGACACAGTTTGCTGTGGTGGCTCATAGCAGTTTGCCATCACTTAAGGACATGAGAGTTGTAAGCATACAAAGAATGGGTAGAAAGAGCCAAAGTTCTCAAGCAAAATCCACTACCAGACAAATTCCAGGAAATCTCAAGGGGTGAGAGCAAGGTCCTGAACAGGGGCTGAAACAGTAGAAGTGGTTTGGGCTTTCCCATTTCTGAAAGTATCTCAGAATTACAGCATACCTGAGCTTTTCCAAACCCTGGGAAAGATCAGCTTCAAAGTCAGGTCTCTCTGGATGTTATTTATTTTCATTTGTTCAGCCCTGACTTTAAAAGTATTATAAATTGTCCCCGGACTGAAAACCCAGTGTTTTGGCTGAATTTACTGCTTATTAAGGCAACTTCATTGGAGTGCTTTTCTAGAAACTGGTGCCCAAGTCAATTCTGGGGTCATGGGAAAAGCAGATTTAATGATGAGCTGGAGAGGCTAGGTCAGATGTGTGGTTTTAGATGCTGTAACTCTGCCATCCCTCTTTGCAGTTGTACTAGTACCCCTTCCCAGCTCATGTTTGTCCTAGCAGGCATCGTGAGACACAGGGAAGGTACAAGAATACATAATACAGTTTTTGTTTCTTTGTTTTTAAAGGGGAAATTACATGTTTTGGAGCCTGTCGGGGGGGATGTAGAGAGCCTTTCACTCCCCTCTTGGTCAATACTGATCTATAATACAGGTTGTCCAAGCTTGAAAGCTGACGGCAGCCTTGAGTTTAAGCCCTGTATCTTTCAGGCAAGGGGTCAAACACTGCTAAAATGTACCACTGTCTGGCACTTACTGCCCCAGGTCCATCCCAGACTTGAAGGACTGCCTGAATAACGGAGGCAGATCTCCCTGTTGACTTACAGAAAGTCATCCCTCCTGAACACAGCACCATGCACAGAGGAAGCAGGGAGGTTGCCCGTACTGGGACGAGTTTAAGGGGAGCAAGCCTCCCACCTCCATGACTCCAACCAACAGCTCGCTCCGATGTGCATCTGTGACTTACCAGACACCTGGAAGAGGCAGGCGGAGACCCCAACATCATTGGAAATGCTGCACTCGTAGCTACCGCTGGTGTCCCGGCTGACGCTGTCCACCTTCAGCTCCGAGTAGTCCTGCTGCTCTGCCAGGGGCTGTGCCAGCAGGGTCCCGTTGAAGCGCCAGACAGAGGTGGCCACCTTCATGGGGCTGCCCTTCAGCATGGTGCAGCGCAGGGTGACGCTGCGCCCCAGGCCCTGCCGCACGTCCTGGAAGGTCGGCTCTACCACGGGTGGGACTGGAGACCAAACACAGCAACAGAGGCGGATGCTGTCAGGGAATGGCCGTCTCGCTCAGCACGGACACCCCGGCAGTGCCACTGAGGAGACAGGCACCTATGATTTCCAAGAGGATATTTATTGTCTAGTGGGAGCCAGGCGCCATCAAACCAAAAGCAGTGATAGTCATCTGACTTCCCCTTCTGACTGGGCTGGGGGTACCTCCCACCTCCATCCCATTTATTAGGTAAGGGTGGCCTTTAGCAAGTACTCATCCCACAGTGAGACACCGCCAAGCCCTGCTCTTTCATGTCAGAAGTGCAACTCCAGCAGCTGAGCACCACAGCTGGGACTCAGTCCTCAGATCCTGACCAGAATAACCACGGTCCTCATACCCAGCATCAACTGCACCCCCTGAGCAGGCAGGTATGCTCCCAAGCAGTTACCTTCAAGTTCTTCCGGTCAATGTCCGACGAGGTTATCAGGGACACCGTGTTCAGATGGAGGGGTACACACGGGCTGTCCCCGCAGAGCACAGACCTGAAGGCGTGTTAGCGGGCCCCTCCCAAACACATCAATACAACCCATCAGGGACTGGCTACAGGGACTCTGGGTCCTCTTTTTATCTCTGGCAACAATTCACTGATGTTGGGAGGGAAGTCATGTCTCACCGTGTCTCGCCATGTCAGCTCCTCTGCCAGTAGTGTGAGAACGGTGATGTGTGGCCACCTCCTTAGCAAAACAAGGCTACTAAGTCTTGGTCTTTAGCACTTGCAAAAAATTCAGAGGAACCTTACAGTTTGGGCATTGTTAAGCAGAGCAAGGAGGAAGTCTGGATTAGTATTGCTTGAGTTACCCCTTATTTAATGCAGTGGCTGAGGACTTCAATCTCCACAGCCATCTGATGGACATGTTTCTCTTGCAATAACTCTTAATTAAAACACTACAGCATGGGAATAACCAGAATCTCTCCTTCTAAAATGAAAGGCTTCCTGAACACAAAACAGCTGTTAGCCCAAATGTAAAAGAGGGAGAACAGATTTATAGCAGCTCCAGGACAATCACAACTCACCTTCTCCAGATTCAAAGCACCTGCTTCTATGCACTACAGATCCACAAAACACCTGCCTCCTCTAGAGGTCCGCAGAGCTGCCAAGCACAACCAGGTCCAAAAACTTGCAACACACAGCATCTGCAGTGCCACAGACACAGCTCCACCAGGAACCACAGGTCACCCAGCATCCCTGCTGCCGTCAACACCACCATGCCTGGAGGGCTCCAGCACGCCAGTTTCTCCTCTCCCATAGCCTGACCCCAGCAAGACCCACCTCCAGCTCTGTAATATCAGCAACATCTCCATCTTCACCACAGGTGAAGATGGTGCACGCACCACCCCATAGCTCTGCATGCCCAGTGTCCCCTCTCCCAGGAACAGAGATGCGTCTGTGGGTACGCAGCGTACAAGCATCCCCTCCACCTGGCAGCCCCAGTTTGACCGTGGCTGATTGTTTTCTAGGTACCTGTTCTCAACTCTCAGCTTCTGGGCCTTTTGCTGCACTTAAGTGGATTAAAAGCAGCCCTTGACTGAGCCGACATTGCCGTGCTGAGTGGCATGGTCAGCTCATTACAGATGGCTTTGCTAGCAATGTGTCTCTGCGGGTGCTCCAAGCACTGACTTGCCTTTGGCTCACACGTCTCCCACCTCACGGTAAGAATAATGTGAGAAGTTGTTTGATTAGACCTAGTGCCATGAATATGTCATCTCCATCCCTAGCTGCTATCCCATTTCTTGGGTCACATCTGCTCCTTAATTGAAGCCGGTGGGGTCTCACATTATAATCAAGGCCAGCTGGTGATGTAGAAAAAAAAAAAAAAGATAAAAAGGGGAGAGAAAAGAAGGTTTAAAAAAACCGGCACAGCAGCACTAGATGTACTCAAAGCAATCTATCTCATGAGGAGGAAAAAGAAGAGTGGGAGAGCAGCTTCCTGCATTGCACTGAGCGGCACCTGTGTATGGAGCTGGGACAGAGGAAGAGAAAAGGTCTGAAATTGGACAAAGTTCCCCTTGCAAGAACAGATGCTGCAAGGGAAGAGCCCCCCTGGGC